ATTTACCGAGCAGGGCCTGGAAAAGAGGCTCTGCAGGACCCCCCAAATCCCCCAAAAATGCCCCAAAATCCACCCAAAACCCTCCCAAATCCCCCTAAATCCACCCAAAATTCCCAAATTTCCCCCAAAATTCCCAAATTTCCCCCAAAATTCCCAAATTTCCCTCAAAATTCCCGGAATTCCCGGATTTACCGAGCAGGGCCTGGAACAGGGAGCTCTGCAGGACCCCAAAATCCCCCAAAAATGCCCCAAAATCCACCCCAAACCCTCCCAAATCCCCCTAAATCCACCCAAAATTCCCAAATTTCTGCCAAAATTCCCAAATTTTCCCGGAATTCCCGGATTTACCGAGCAGGGCCTGGAACAGGGGGCTCTGCAGGACCCCCAGGAGCTGCTGAGCCCGGAGTCGGGGAGGGGGTCCCAGAGCCTCTTCCAGGAGCCGCCGCGCCCCTGGGAACCCCAAAAACGGGTCAGGGACCCCAAAAATGGGTCAGGGACCCAAAAAAATCCCCAGAACACCCAAAAAATGGGACAGGGACCCCAAAAAATGGGTGAAAAATCCCAAAAATGGGGCTGGGACCCCAAAAATGGGTCAGGGACCCCGAAAATGGGGCTCGGGGCACCAAAAAATGGGTCAGGGACCCCAAAAAATGGGTGAAAAATCCCAAAAATGGGGCTGGGACCCCAAAAATGGGTCAGGGACCCAAAAAAATCCCCAGAACACCCAAAAAATGGGACAGGGACCCCCAAAAATGGGTGAAAAATCCCAAAAATGGGGCTGGGACCCCAAAAATGGGTCTGGGGGCACCAAAAACGGGTCTGGGGACCCCAAAAATGGGTCAGGGACCCCAAAAATGGGTCAGAAACCCCTAAATTTGGTTTCAGGAGCCTCGGAATGGGTCTGGGGGCACCAAAAACAGGTGCGGGACCCCAAAAACCCCCCAGAACTCCCCCAAAATGGGTCAGGGACCCCAAAAAATGGGGCTGGGGGCACCAAAAATGGGTCAGGAACCCCAAAAAAACCCCAGAACACCCAAAAATGGGTCAGAAACCCCTAAAATTGGAGGAAATGGGTCTGGGGGCACCAAAATTCCCTTGGGAACCCCAAAAAAACCTCCCTGGGACCCCCCAAAATGGGTCAGAGACCCCAAAAATGGGTCAGGGACCCCAAAAAATGGGTGAAAAATCCCAAAAATGGGTGAAAAATCCCAAAAATGGGGCTGGGACCCCAAAAAATGGGTCAGGGACCCCGAAAATGGGTCTGGGGGCACCAAAAATGGGTCTGGGGGCACCAAAAATGGGACTGGGACCCCAAAAAATGGGTCAGGGACCCCCAAAAATGGGTGAAAAATCCCAAAAATGGGTCAGGGACCCCAAAAACCGGGTCAGGGACCCCCAAAAACGGGTCAGGGACCCCAAAAAATGGGTGAAAAATCCCAAAAATGGGGCTGGGACCTCAAAACATGGGTCAGGGACCCCCAAAAATGGGTCTGGGGGCACCAAAAATGGGTCAGGGACCCCTAAATNAAAAACGGGGCCGGGACCCCAAAAAATGGGATCAGAAGCTCAAAAAATGGGATTGGGACCCCCGAAAATGGGGAGGGGACACCAAAAAACGGGGTGGGGACATGAGAAAACACTAAAAAACCACTAAAAATGGGGTGGGGAGACCAAAAAAATGGGGAGAGGATCCCAAAAATGGGTTTGGGACCCCCGCAAAAAAGCCAAAGTGGCGGCGGCCGGAGGGGCGCTCTTCATCCTGGCCGGTGAGAAAAACCCCCAAAATTGGGTTTGGGACCCCCGAAAACCCCCCAAAACACTAAAAAATGGGGTTGGGACCCCCCAAAATGGGGTCAGAACCACTGAAAATGGGGTGGGGACACTAAAAAATGGGGTTGGGAGGACAAAAAATGGGGAGGGGACCCCCGAAAACCCCCAAAACACTGAAAAATGGGGTTTAGGACCCCAAAAATTGGGGTCAGGACCCTCGAAAATGAGTTTGGGACCCTCGGAAATGGCGTCGGGACCCCCCAAAACCCCCCGGGACGCCAAAAAAAACCCAAAATTTTGAAGTTTTTTTCGGATCAAATTTTGGGGTTTTTGGGGTCCAATTTTGGGTTTTTTTCAGATCAAATTTTGAGGTTTTTTTCAGGTAAATTTTGGGATTTTCAGGGTCCCATTTTGGGATTTTTGGGGTCCGATTTTGGGATTTTCGGGGTCCCATTTCAGGTTTTTTTAAGTCCAATTTTGGGGTCCAATTTTGGGATTTTTGGGGTCCAATTTTGGGATTTTTTGGATTAAATTTTGGGAATTTTGGGTTTTTTTTAGGTCTGGTGGGACTCGTGGGCTGCTCCTGGTACGGCCACAGAATCATCACCAACTTCTACGATCCCCTGGTCCCCGTCAACTACAAGTGAGCAATTTGGGGAAAATTCTGGGATTTTTGGGATTTTTGGGATTTTCGGGATTTTTGGGATTTTTGGGGAGTTTTTTGGGACGATTTTGGGGCATTTTGGAACAATTTTTATGGATTTTAATGGGATTTTTGGACATTTTTTCTGGGTTTTGGGGCGATTTTTTCCTGGTGTTGTGAGCATTTTGGGGAAAATTCAGGGATTTTTGGGATTTTTGGGATTTTCGGGGTTTTTGGGGTCTCAGGGAGATTTTCTGGGGCGATTTTGGGGTGATTTTTATGGATTTTAAGGGGATTTTTGGACATTTTTTCTGGTTTTTAGGGCGATTTTTTTCCTGGTTTTTGGGGTAATTTGGGGCAAATTTGGGGCATTTGGGATTTTCGGGATTTTTGGGATTTTTGGTGTCTCGGGAGGGTTTTTTTGGGCGATTTTAGGGCGATTTTTATGGATTTTAATGGGAGTTTTGTGTATTTTAGGACATTTTTTTCTCTTTTTTGGGATAATTTGGGGCAAATTCGGGGCTTTTTGGGATTTTTGGGGTCTCGGGGAGTTTTTTTGGGTCGATTTTGGAGCATTTTGGAACAATTTTTATGGATTTTATGTAAATTTTGTGAATTTTGCTCTATTTTAACTGGGATTTTTTGTATTTTTTCTCATATTTCGGGTTATTTTAATGCAGATTTTTGCTGATTTTGGTTCATTTTGGGTTAAATTTTCCCATTTCAGGTTCGAGATGGGCCCCGCGCTGTTCCTGGGCTGGGCGGGGTTGATTTTGGGTTAATTCGGGGCTATTTTAGGTTATTTTGGGTTATTTTAACCGGGATTTTTTGTATTTTTCTGTAATTTTAAGCTATTTTAACCGGGATTTTTGCTGATTTTGGTTAATTTTGGGTTCATTTTCCCATTTTCTCTATTTCCAGGTTCGAGATGGGCCCCGCGCTGTTCCTGGGCTGGGCGGGGGCG